GCGTCTCGACATGGTCCAGAATAGTGGCATCCGGAAGAGCCTTGGAATACAGCCTTTGCTTCTCCAGATTGAGAAGTCAGCTGCGATGGCTTGGGATGTGTTGCGAATGCCTCCAGAAAGGAAGGCTAAGGGGACGGCCAAGATTAACATGGTGCAAATATAATGAAGGAATCTGTTCGAGACTCGATTTGTCTTTTGCTGAAGCTCAGACTCAGGCACAGGATCGGGAACGTTGGAAGCTGTCTGACGCGTCTGCCTCCGCCTCCCGAAAGGAAAAAGCAGAGATGGAAGATGAATGAATGAATGATGAACTATTACGGTACCTCGGTTCTTTCAAATAAACCTCCGGAATAAGTAAATGGCGCTAGTTTGTAACGTATTCCCCGGGGATCATTGTGTTATATATCGCAGATAGCGAAATGTCATCGAATAGTGCTCCTGTTAAATAGCCTCTAGTCTTCCAACGACAAGCGAAGGAAATCGTAGCACCGCAACAGAGGGTCAGACAGAGCAATATTCCAGCACCGTCTTTGAAACGACAATACGCTGATCATGTGCTATATTAACCAAAGCAACATAAATTTTATGAAGAACAGCTTGTTTTGCGCCAACAGTGTTTCAATAGCATTTGGCTTTTCACAGGACACAGTGAACAAAATTTCCATGTAATACAGAATTATTACCAAAAATAAACCCTGTTATTATCAGTTCGCTAGCAAACTGTTAGTTTGCAATACAACCGGTAAGAACAACATTCTCCCGTCATTTCTCTGGATGTAAGCAGCGCAGCTCACCATCCAATTGCTTGTAATAGCCTAGAAGACTGTTTAAACAGGCCACGGCTCTATTGTATTTTAGCACCTGCACTGCAGGTGCTAAAATATCATGGAGCCGTGGTCGTAGAGCCATAGGCTATCAGAGACAAGAAGATGGTGTGACTAAGCGATGTGAATCAGTTACTGCGTCCTTGCATAGAGCTAAACTTTGATAATATTCGACGCAACAGCTCAAAAATAATGCATAAATGCATCAAAAGCAACTGAGCTTTCATTGTTAATGCTATAAATCCAGTTAACCTTATAATCTAATTTTATTCACGTGTCTCCATTTCATAAAGTGGCAACGACAAAAAAGAAAAATTTAACTGTATTCTGGTTAGTTGAGCTCAAATCAATAGCATGCGTGAGAAGAAAATCTATGGATCTAGGAGGCACAACGCTGGAACACAGTTTCGACGAAGACCATAGCAATTGCTCCGTGACTGGAAATTACAAATTTGGAAATGGCGAGATAGAAAAAACTGATACGAATGATCTGCATCCAGCAAATGCCAACGCATTGTTATTTTGTCATAATAACTTTAGTAGCATAACTGCAAGCCGCTAACGATTCGTATTAATAAAGTTAATACTTCGTCATTATAAGCGAAAAAAATTTTCAGAATGAAACTATGAAAGAACAACAATATTCAGGTGATAGAAATGCTGCATGAGCATGGTAGGGCTAGAAACAGGGCAGAAACGAGACAAACTATTGTCAAATTAAAGACAATAAATCCACACCCAACTGCCCAGAAGAGCATGAAGAATTGGTTTTTCCTGAAGAAGCAAAATTTCACGCAAATGGCAGAATCAGTCATTGTGATTGTCATATTGTGGAACTACACAAGAGTGGAGTCTTGCAACATAACGGATTCCACGATAATCAATGTCTGCTGTTGGCGTATGACATTTTCTCACAGCAACCTTAGCGCAAGTTGTTCAGGCGTAAACAGTAGTTGGTGGCAGTATGCAGTCATGTGCCAAAAGTTTAAAACAGCGGAATATACATATATGCCACAGATCGGAATCTATATCGGTAGAGACTGAAATTAACTCGCAAATCAGTCCAAACCAGGCTACTGAAAACATTTAGCTGATCAGTTCAAGGCCCGTAATGCACTGTAATTTTTGCTAAATTACTGCCTAAGTCTCCCCTTGAACTTAATCCACAGCTTCATCGTTGCCTGCTAACCATAAATGAACAATCTGTATCATCCAAAATACACATTGTCTTTAAATGTCCAAGTGCAATTTTGTATTCCGCGATTTGTACACTATTCTCAATCTGGATTATTACCAGAATTTTTCAGCGATCCCTTTCTCTGAACAATAAAGCTTCATTCACTCAACTGCGCAAAAAAGTCACATTAATATAATGTTATAAAACTGCAAACCTGTGTTAACGGAAGAAGTAAACTCGACAAATTTATCCAGGCTAAAATCGTTAGCCGTTGAAAAATCAGCAATACCTAAAATTAAACCACGCTCAAATTGGTTTTCAAGTTCAGCAACAATGTTGCCCCGTGCCTCAAACACGCACAATAAATCACGAAGTTCCTAAGGTCTCATTTAACGGCTCTGCACGGGGCAACAAGAAATAA